CTGCATTTGTCTTGCATCCTAAGAAATCCTTGGATTTTGACAGTTTGGATGTTGTTTGTGGAAAAGTGTGCACTATTTTACCTTAAAATTATTTCTGAAGAGTTTAAATAGTGTAGACACCCTAAAGTCTTTACCTGGTAAATAGGGATCCAACACATTAAGGGCATCAGGTCGGTTGATTTTGTGTAAAGCCCAAACCAAGTCTGGCAGTTTCAACCATGGTTTTGCTCCTCTGAGATGCTGAAGAAGAGCCTCTGTGGGGCCTTCCCTTTCTTCTTGGGCTGGTAAAATGTCATCCAGAATCTCCTTTTTGATATTCAATTTGTTACCCAGGTGTCTTAATCCCTTGACTTTCTTGGCACGTTTCTTGGTATTCAACATATCACAGATTTCATCCATGACATTTATGTCTTCATTCAATTCTTTTATCATAGAACTCTCTGTGACTACAAAATTAAAAAATATTATATAACAAAAATTATGCGAACGGGAGTAACACTATTGTCATTCAGCACATTCAAGAGGTCTTGAAACCTCTGCAAGCATCATTAATTTAGAAAATTAATCACATGTACATCATAATTTTAAGACTGTGTATAAGCTACCCCGGTAAGTAGAATTGAACCCAATAAATTCATGATTTTACTTGACTACAACCCCATGCTGCTACTGTTGACAAGTATTGCCTTTAAAGTACATTTTAAGGTCTGACTGGCCATCTGATGGGGTCACCTTGACAAAAAAATTTTTATTTATTAGAAGAGAGAGGCTTACTTACAACTCAGATATGCCAGCTAGCTTTAAAAATATCAAATGTGTTAGGAACTAAGTGTTTCTTTCCATTTCTTTTTTTCACTCTCCTGGGAACATAGGCCCTTCTTAGACAAATATTCATGCAGTCCAAAATGATGATACCCATATGAAAATGTCGGTGAGGTCAGACAAGTATGGGAAATAAGCACCAAGAGAATGATTAAAATCTTGTACTCCTCTCCCTTTACTTAATCCTTCCTTTAAAAATGAATAGCCAATAAGGGAGAGTGACTGATAAGTTAGAATAGCTGAAACAGTGGCATGCAGCTTGTTGAGTATTTTAGATTTGTTTTTTCTTACCGTTACATATGCATGTAAGTCATGCATACCAGTTTAGTAATTAAAGTATCAAAATCAAGATTGGACTAACCCTCTGTACTGCTCTTGATGGCACGGATGACATCTTGCCGCCCAATAGCCTCCAGATGCCCGATCAGTTCCTTGACTGTCAGTTGAGGGATTTGCTTTTCCAAAATTTCAAACACCTGCTCCGTTGGATTCTCACTGCTTGAATCCTCAAAGCTTTGGAATATGGCCCGAGTTATACCCAGAATGGGGGCTAAGTCAGACCAATTTTTTAATCCACGTTTCTCCACATCTAAAAGAAGAGCTATTTCTCCAATGATGTCTGAGTTACTGCCACAGTTAAAGAGACTGCTTACCAAAGTTCTATCATTCACAGGTGGATTGCCTGAGGAAACAGCAGGGTTGAAGTTAATTGGTGGGGTGCTGAGAGTATTATGTGTATTGTTAAGCACTGTTTTGCTGGAATGGCAGCAGTCTCCCAACCCCTTTCCCTTTCCTGTAAGGGGCACAAAGGAATTAAGAGTCTCTATTGCCTATGCCTATATGTTGATAGAGCAAAGATACAGCTAGCACAAACTACTGTGATTTGAAACAAATAAAAGCAGTGATGTGAAAAAAAAACAAAAGCTGAAATAAACAGTTGGACATACTTAGATGAATGCATGCATGATGCCAGCATGCATGAAAGGTTAAGAATCGATGATTAACCACCAAAGGTCCCATTCATTAAGGGCTGGAGGAAATAAGTTGATATTTGACTCAACCAACAGATGCCTTAGGTGCACATGCATGATCCAGGATATTATAGGGAGAAGCTACCTGTTAATTATAATCACTTCTGGGAGTTAAGGGGTTGACCCTTATATACACCATGTGATTTAAACAGTATCTGTTGTAAGATGATTTCTTCTTCAAAAACCTAAGTTAAACATAGATTTTCATATCTTGAAGAATAAATTTGGTTGCATTATTATTTTCAGTCATACTCTAGTGTATGTTTATTGAGGTCAGCACTCTTGTTCTCAATAAGTGTTGATACCTGTGTGGTAATTAAGTAATTAAAGTGATTAATAGGAAAATTAATATCCTTCATATACTCACAAATCTCATATTTAATGAGTACATTGATGACATCATTCCTCTCAATCTGGATTAGTGCATCTTTAAGACTTTCCACTGTAATATCTGGCAGACTTGACTGTAAATATTCAAACATTAATTCTGTTGGACTATTTTCTTTTTGTAATTTGAAGCTCCGATACACTGCTTCAGAAATACCAAAATGCTCACTGAGATGTTTCCAACATTTGCAATGCCCATATCTATATTCTTTATCTAGGCACCTGCCCAGAGCCTCTAACAGGTCTAGACAACCTAGTATGGTATCTGCGAATGGTTGATCTAAATTGAAAACACAAAGAAAGAAAAGTCATACTTCTTATGAAAATTAAGTAACAGCACGTGTGATATTTATCCATTTATTTGTAAGACTTAATGCATTAGCATGTCTATTCCAAGGGTGAAGGGTAGGGGATGGGGTAAGAGGAAATGGGTAGGGGGTGGGGTAGGATGTAAGGGGGTGGGGGTAAGGGGTGAGGATTGAGGGTTGATTAGGGTGCATTTTTTTATTGCATGTGTGGAATTGTTGGTCTTAATTGTGATGCTAGACAACACAAGTTTGATACTTCAAAATGTTTGTTTATGGGGTGCAACAAGTTATCATAATGATTGTGCTTAATGAAAGGTGAACCTGAACTTTATGGAGCCATTACTTTAATGATCTGGTAAAAAATAAAAGTAATTTCAACCTTTTGTGTTAAGCGACATATTGCTAGCAATGCAGGGAGCTTGCATCAGGGTTAACTTATGTCACTGTTATATGATAATCCTCTCTTCACCCACCAAATGTATTACATAACGAGATGCACCCATCATAAGTTTCCTGAGTATAAACTATGAGCATTTTTTTTTGAGACAACCACCAGCCGAAAATTTTTCACAAACCTGCAGTACAGGCTATTATGGTAAATTCAATAATCACTCTAGAAATTAATCGAGAATTTTGTTTACAGCTACAGTTTTGTTGAAATTTGATGATTCACATCATAAAAATAACAATGTTGGTCTAGAAAATAGCTAAATTAGTAATTGCATTATCTAGGCAATTATAAGCTTGAGTACCCTAATATTGACCTTAAGCTTGCTTATACCTCTTGTATCAATGACAATTAAAACCAGCCTAAGCCTGGTGTTTTCAAATCCAGTATGGTAAATGAATAATCCTGCAAGTTAATCCAGTTTTGTGCAGTAACTGTTACAGTTTTTGTTACAGTTTGAGGACCAATATGACCATTAGGATTCCAGTCACAACTCAAGAGAATCAAAAAGAAGAATGCTTGTCTCTATAGCAGTTGTATTAGCATCAGCGCAATGTTGAGAAACAGAGAATGTTTTGTATCCAAGTTATGTAACCTTTTTTGGTTGCAAGAGCTTTTTTGTTACTTCAGTCTAATGCTTTTGCACATACGTTTAGTTTAATAAGTGGCTGTGGTGAACCAGCTGCTCCAGGCAAATTCTTTGTACGATCTTGACACGTCTCAACACAGTCAATAAAGTTGAAGTTCTCACTGCATCAAGCAATGTGAGTTTGTTACACATACATTGCAAATTGTACCCCTCATCCCTTAGCCCTCGCCACCCAAATAGACATGCCAATAAGCATTCAGTTCCTGTGTCAACAATTCTTTAAAACATAATGAGTTTGAAAGCTTGATAATATTTAACTCCCCAACACTAATTTAAGACAAATTACCACAGATTTTCCCAAGACTATGTTATTAATATTCCTAATATGCTAGCAACTCCCTGGACTGCTTATTAAGGTCATATAATTCTAAAAATTCCCAAACAAAAAATTAGTTTCTGAGCACCTAACTGAAATTTCTTGTCAGCTCTGATCATGACAGGCCCTGCTGAGGTTGTGCGTTTCACTGGAAGTTTTTTAAGCTGCCCTTGATCAAACACTGGAAAAGTTGCGCATCTTTGTTGAGGGAACTGATTTCTTGCGCTGTCTTGCTGGTGAATGCCATTGCCAAGAGTTTCCAAGCCTGCTGCAGAAACCCCTTGCCTCTCACTGTTACAGATAATAACATTTTCTGAGTGGGTTCTCTCGGGTGTATGGATTAGTCCTGAAGGTGCTAAAAACGTCTGGGATTCAGGAGGTACCTGGTCTGCCTTGATCTCCTGGGATTTTCTTTGAGCTTGCATCACTCCTTCACCTCCCTGCATTTTCTCTTTGCCATTTACTGCAGGTAAGTCAGGAACCACCTCCAATACTCCTTTCAGATCTACACTTTTGTGGGAATCAACAGATCTATAGGAGTTTTCAATGGGAGAATTTGATTGTTCTTCAATGCCACCTGGAACCATATTAATACTTAGTAATTCAGTCAACATATTCAACTAGCTTTGTGAAACTATGACTTACTCTCACTAGTATTTGTTTAAAATTAAAGCAATAAAGTAATGGTTGCTATTTTACAGCTGATCATTTTCAAAAAAATTATGCTTAACAATTAATCTGATAAGTTTTGGGTCTGCAATCTAGCAAAATCATTCTCCATCTTTAAGCAAACTTCCCTGTAAAAGCTCAACAATTATGCAAACATTTATGTATGTATGCATCCATCTTAGATACCGAGCGTGTCTGATATATTGCAGGAATTTGAGGTTAACTGCCTTAACTGAATATCTGTTGTTCAATACTTTGTGGACTGCATTTTGCAATCAGTGAATAGGAATTAACATATTAGTTTAAAACTACTTCACTCATGTTTGCATGATCCAATTATTTTCCTTAAATTTTTTTTTTGGCAATGTACAATGGGTTCCAATTATCTCTGATGTGTGTTTGATTAAACTTTCACTGGTGCATCATTTTGTGATGTCATCAATTTTCCATATCAGTATACCTTAATTCTCGATCAATATTTTATTGAGAACTGGAATGTACCTTAGCCCCACTAAAAAGCCTATATAGGTATGAGTTTCATATACCTTGACCACTTCCCCCAGAACACTCCTTTTCCCTTCCAGTTGGAGATGGATCAGGTCCACTTAGGAATTCTGAATCCTCTTCACCTCTGTTTACACCTCTTTGATCTGAATCTGCCTCATGCTGACCTCCTGTGGAAGGTGTGTTAGCAGGTATGTGACCTTCCTTTGCTCTTACTTCTTCCTTTATGCACGGATAAAGAGGTGGAAAAACCCCTCCTGAGGCAACAACCAAGTCCTCCCTTTCAAATTTATTATGCTCCTCTATAATCAGAAGGTAAGCTTCATTAACAATCATGCACAAAAACTTCCAGTGACCATTACCCAATGCAGATACAGTAACTGTTTTTTAACTCAGTAACTGTTTTGGCCTTGACTGTTATTGATATTAAAGTACATGACAATCACCACTGTTTTCAGGATTGTTTTATGCATGTTGCAAACTGTCAATACTGTAACGGGCAATTGAGTATCAATCGAGTGGTATGTTACTTGCCCTGATCAGATTGCAACAACCAGATCATTCATTTGGTAAATGTTTGCACTGATCAGAGTATTGCCTGTCGTGCCAATCATATCATGAAATAAGGGTACCACAAAGTGTTGCAATATTCTCTTTGTTCAATATATTTTACTTATTTGTTTAAAGAACAGAGAACGCAAAAACTATTTGGTTACAAAAATGGTGATAAAATACAGTTTCAGTTTGCTTCCCAAGGCAAAAAGAATATTTTTGGCTCAACTAGCTATAACAGCATAATTTTGATTTTGTTTCTAACAAAGGAACTGCAATAAGCATAATTTTTTCTTGCAAAAAGGCCAGCCCTTATCACTAGCACTGTAGGACGTGTATTTCTCTGCCCAAGGGAAGGTTTAAGACAAGTCAGGGAGAGGTTTAATATTGTCAGCGCTATATGCCCCTTTCGGACCTTTTACTAGCTTGTGCTGCTAAAGGCTTAATGTAATTTCCTGCAATTAATCAGGAGGAAATATTTGTGACCAAATCCTAATAATGAGGGCCCACTATCAAGCCAGCTCCTTGGCAACCACTGCTTGGTCTTGTCATGTAATGGGAGAGAGCTAGATTGTGTTGCTTGATGAGACCAAACAATGGCTGCCGCAAAGTAGACTACACTAAGTGTGGTACCAATGCTGTTTATTTTTACTTAAAACTTTTCAGACTCTGCCTACTGACTAGGATTGACCCCCTTCTCACTTTATTCCAATAAATTGGAAGGATTTTTTTCTTCTCATAGGAATTTGTTGAGGTTAATGCTCTTTTTACCTTTTTTACTCATTGTCCTACCCATCCATCCAAAAAAAAAAAAAACTCTTGCATGGGTAGCATACTTATGTTTGCTTGTAGTCACACTTGAACACTCCCAAAATATAAATGAAAGTGTCTGTACATAATACTTTTTAGGTCATTGTTTTCAGTCCACTCAAAAAGTACAATGAATGTGGGTGAATGTTATTGTTTCAATTGTCTTAGAAAGAAGAATGTGTGAAAACAGATAAAAATTAATTCACAGAAAAATATATCAATATGAACAGAATCATCGCCACATATAAAATCCTATTTTTCACTTTAGCGGTACCTCTGTCTCTACCAGCTGTTCCATGCAATGGATGATGGCCATTATTGAAAGAGCCTACAATTTAACAAACAAAAAATACTTAAGAATCACTTTTGGTAGGTTGTTGATCGAGTATCATGCAATCTGCTGTAAATTAAACAAGTGCCATTTTGAAGCTCATTAAATGCAAACATTAAATATGCAGTGGCCAAAAGAAAAAAACTTTTGGTTCCTTGAAGGTAAAAAGCATAAGAGAACAGACTTGGGCTGACAAGATAAGGAATTCTGCTCTCTAAAAGCTGAGACTGCAAATATGTTAGTATTTGATATCTGCCATATGGTTGGAATTATGAAATTTCACTAGCCAACAGCACTGGCAATAAGTACCTAGTTGACTATATGACAATGCAATCTCACATCCAACAAAGTCCAAAAAAAAAATCTTTTTATTTCTAAATTTTTCATAATTTGAAGTTGTGGCAGACGCGTATCAAGGTTAATTTTCATACTAAAAATTTTTCAAATCAAAATAGCCAGAAGTTGAGGCTTCTTCTAACAACCAAAACAGCAAAGTAGTCGCCTTGTACTCACAATCCTGGAAATATTAACGATGTAACAGTATGAAGCAAAATAATTCCAAGAAAAACATATTTTGAAATGTCTATAGTTTGACTGTAATGTCTAATGAAAATCAATGAAATATGAAAACTGGGAGTGAAATAGCTTTTTACAAACTGCAATCGTATGGCAGGGCAACGAAAGAGGAAAGAACCCACCCAAACAATTATTAGCGGATTATTATTCGTTTGATTAACTCCAAAGTTATCATGTTTTGTAAATAAATCACGTTTGTGTGTAAGCTAAATCTAAGTTAGGGGCGCATGAGCGGTTTAAAACAAATCAGTTTTGATGATTTACCTGACTCGGACGCAGAGCCGAAAATAAGGGGTGAAGGCCGTTTGTCGATGAAGTTCAGAAAGCCAGCAAACTTCTTTTCTTTGCTAAGAATGATCGATCCTAGAGGTTTCTCCTCAGCGGCAAATTCATCCTCTGATAGAAGCCGCTCCTCCTCCTTACTTCGCAAGAAATATCCCTGAGCTCTCTTCTCGTCTGAATCGTCGCCGTCCAACCGCAGGATGTTGTACAACTTTGTTGCCAAACCTGCAGTCTTGGCATATTTTCCTGGAGTTGTTGATCTTTCACCGCAAAGAACAGAGCAATAAAGCTGGTCAGAACTTAACAGTGAGGATGTAGTATCCTCCTCCAGATCGACGACTTCCAAAGCTCTACTTTTTCCAAATCGACCTGGTTGCACAGCCATGTAAATAGCTCCTTCCATCTCGAACACATCGTTCTCAAATGAGCGACACAACTTACTCAGAGTTTTGCGTTCAATTTTACTTTTGTCGTTCGCATCTGGGAATTCGGCCACGATCTTCACCGAGGGTTCGAAAAAAGACTTCTCTTTTGCTCTCTTTTCAAGCGCTTTGAGATGTTCTTTCGTTAGTACTTGCCTGCTAACAGCCACGAAATAATTCCCACCAGTAGACTTGGTGGTCCAGTTTTTTCCTCGGACAACTTTAGTTTCCGTGCTTTTCAAAAATACAAGGCAAGCAGGGCCAAGACATTTGGGCGTTTTATGCCCGCTTGTTTGTTCAACCAGACGACAGATGGCCAATTCAGCAGAACTCGTGCTACTATCGACCGGAGAAGCCATCTGGATCAACCTACAACCCTTGCGGGAAGATCGAGAATCTGCTTCGAGCGCACGCACTGTCAACTTCTAGAGTATATGTGTCTCGCCTCGGAAACTTCCGGGAATCTCTCACCTATTTTTAGCAGAAATCGTAGAAACGTCATACCGAGCTTTCCGACCCAGTCTCCATCTTTACAAGACGCGTACATGGCCCTCTTGCTATGTTCACTTGCTGTCATGCTTGAGTCCCGATAGAGGGTTTTGGGGATAAGGGATCACTGGGCATATAATTTAATTAAGGCATGAGGGATAAATAACAACATCATTTTGGGGATAAAGGATAAGCAAATAAGACACAAACAGCAGTGAAAAACATATTGGACTTGCACATTTTGATTATGACTTGACGTTTCGTATGTACTCCACATACATTTTCAAAAGTAACCGTTTAAATTTAAAACAGCTATGTATATACATATAACTAAGGTGAGGGGACCGGAACCAAGATTGAGCAAAAAACTTAACAATAAACAATAACACTAGAGCAGATTAATAAAGCAACAGCTTTTCACTTCCGACGTTCACGTTGAAAGCTGGCTCAAGTTCTTGAATAAGTAAGGACTCTTTGATTTTACAATGGCAGTCTGTTTTGCCTTCTGCCAAAATGTCAAAATGATCCCACTTGATTTTATGTTCAGTGGCCTTGACGTGGTCGGCAATGGCTGAAGTATTGTCATTTTTAAGCAAATAGTTTTAGAGATGGGGTGATTAAGGTCGGGTTCCACTTATTCTTTTTTCGTATATTTTTTGCGCTTTTTTTCGTTAGTTGTTGCTACCTTTGTTCGGTTATCGATCATTTACTTCAGTGTTATCAATCAGTTAAGGCCGGTCCCGAGTTCCCCGAGTTTCCTGTCTATGCTGGAAAGCGCATGTCAAGGCANTTTTTAATACAGTCTCAGATTTTACACCAGTTAAGTTTGGGAACCCTCTAAGAATACTTTAATCAAAGGCAATCAGACGAGGATGATGGAAACACAGCGACTTCGACTTCCGCGTCAAGATCTTTGTCGGAAATGTCAGTGAACTCGAACTTGCTCAATCCGTAATTCCTCATCCTCCGGTAAATTGTACTTTCTGATACAGCAAGGATCGAAGATATTTTTCCTGGATTTTAAATTTTTCGTGTGGTAAATTACCTTTCACAGGTTTTGGAATAAAGAAAATAGGGGCACCACAGGTTCCCTTGAGTTTCTTTGGTGCTTCTCCCTCAAATTTGGTGCATTCTATTCGCAAAGACATCATATCACTGCGAGAATTTACACCGAACATTTCCATTTCGTGTACCGACAACTTGCAAACAACGTCCGGAGTAATGCGTACAGTTTCAAATTTCTTAGTCAGCCCTTCGAGTTTCAGGCTCTCTAAGACTGTGTCCATGTTAGGCTGAATTCGATGTCTCAAAGAGAAACACGAGCAAGAACGGAAACAAAACGGCAGATCCTCTGTTGCATTGTGGATTTTTGGAAACTTTTACTCAGACCCCGGAAATCTTCACCTCATAATGAAGAAAGCACCGCATATAATGACGAAAGAACCGCATATAAAGACGAGAGCACTGCATATAATGAAAAATGTACCGCATATAATGAAAAATGTACCGCATATAATGACGAAAGCACCGCATATAAAGACGAAAGCACCGCATATAATGAGAAATGTACCGCATATAATGAGAAATGTACCACATATAACAACGAAAGCACCGCATATAATATGAAATGCACCGCATATGACGTAACATACACCGCATATAATGAAAGAGGTTGACATAAGACAGTGTTGGCGTTCCATAGTACACTCTCTTTGTCCAAGAATGAGGTTTAATGCCTTGCGGGAACGGGGAATCAAGGGCAACGAGATGGTACAGTCGAACCTCGATCATCCGGACTCGTCGGGACTTCGGTAATTAGTCCGGATAATCGAGGGTCTGGATAATCGAAAATATGAATATTAACGAGATAGAAATGTAAACAAAAGGTGTACAGCAAAGAAAACATCATTTATCTACACAGCCCGTATGTATTTACAAATAACGCAACGGAATATTTCTTTGTCTCACCGCACTTCAGAATTTTGAAAAGCGCACAGAATAGTACGCTGTTTGAACAGTCTTTTGAAAGGGTTATTGGGCTTTTTGCGACTTTGAGTTTTCAAGATGACAACTAATTCATATTCATGCAAAAATTGGGACCAGAGAAAAAAGTCCGGATAATCGAATAGTCCGGATAATCGAGGTTCGACTGTACCAAGGCTGATTTGTATAAATCTACCTTAGTCTGTTCAGAACTAAATACTGTAATTCTTTTGGGATACAGCTGTCGGCAAAGTGCGCTTAATTACCAAGCCAAGTGGGCTTTTACAGTTTTTGGTGAATCTGGAGAAGTTTTTCAACATTTTCGGTGTACAAAAGGAGACAGTCGTGAAGAGAAACTTTCATCCGACGGAGGCTATCTCTATGGTTAAAGAAGTAAATGATTTCATCGAGAGATGCGAACAAGGAGTCAGGGAAGTGGGTGGTCCACAAGCGAGTGAGAGGATTCTTCAAGGTCCGGATGGCATATGTTCTGTTCAAACGTCGGGGAATATCAAGATGAAAATACAATCTCTGGAGAGTATCTATGCTACACTTTATGAAATTTCTCCACCGCTCCTTGACAGCATCAACTTGTCGTCGAAAATCTTTTCGCAGAGACGAGACGAGGAAATGAATTGCCCTTCCAGTGCAGTGCAAGAATATGTAAAGCGTATTACTCACAGTAGTTTCACATAATAAACAAATGACTCTTCGTACTACTTCAGTAGACTTCGCAGAACTTGCACGAGGGGAATCAGAAATCACTCCTGACGAGGAATTAGCTTCTAAACATTCCAGAGCCTCAGAGTTCGTTGTCTCCATGGGTACTTTTGTTTGTGTCAAGCAGCCGTCNTAATAATAGTAATAATAATAATAAACAATTTTAACAGGGAGCCCTCTTCACCAAAAGGTGCCCTTCAGTATGCGTATTTACTATACTGTTCTCTGGACATTTTCTAAGGTGCTCACAGGGAGAATCAGTTTTAAACAACCAAGAGCTGCTTAATTTGGTGATCATTTCCTTCTTCCTTAATTCTCATGACCTTAATGATTAATTCAGGCCTGGGTTGATTTTGTGGGAGAAGTCATACGCTAGTCATTCTTAATTTAAAAGGATTAAGGTTATATTCCTTACGTAATGATTAGCTTAAGATCGTTGGTGAAAGATCCACAAGTTGAGACATCCAGGGTAAATACAACACTAAATGGGGCTTCATTCATTTGGATATTCAGCTGAGAGAAGATGGAAAGATTTAGATGAATCTGTGCGAGGTCTGCATGATTTTAAAGGTGATATTTGTTTTTCAGACTTTTGGAATATTGTTGTAACTATTGTTGATCACTTTTATTGCGAAGTAACCAGTAACTTGGTTTTATCTTATTCGATATTTTTTATCAATTTTATTTATTCAATGTAATGTAATTAGAATATTTAATATAATTAGTCACTGGATTACAGTCACTCATTTTAATACTTTTTTTTACATGGTTTTCTGTGCTCAAAGAAATAAGTACCACCGTGACACTCGAAATTTGAACGTAAATACAGTTATGTACGTGTGTATACAAGCAAAAATAAATCGTACCAATTAACTAAGTTGAATTAGGCCTGATTTGGTTGCAGAGGTCTTTCGGTAATAAGTACGGTCTCCAAAAATTGGAGGTGCCTTTGTGAGTCTCGAAATTTCACTCAGTTAACATGTTGTGACCAAGCATTTTCTAACGACCCAAATGAATAGCTCATCTTATTCTCGTTCCGGATTGGACGGAATACATAAACATCCTTGTCAACGAACGTAAATTGAAATGATGAGGGAAAAGAAAGTTTCCTTTCGTGTGCTACGATATACACCATTAAGTACGTGACTAGTGTTTTAGAGAGCAGTGCGTTTAACTGAGTCCCACTAACAAACTAAGAAGATCACGTATCCTGCATGTAATTAACTTAAGCAAGGTGTTATTATAGGTTAAGTTCAATCCTCGCAACTACTTCGTGGAACAAAAATATTTAACATTGATTTGTTGTATTTTTGTGGTTCACTGCTAATTATAAGTCCATCAACGTGTCCAAGTGTTGTATCCTGTGCGTTGATAGTCCTTTTAAAGTCGCTTCTTTTTGTGTACTTAATCAGTTTGATGTTTTGGAATTGCCATGGAAACATTTCACATTTTGCCATCACGCTCGATATTTGTACCAGTTCGTTCCTTGCCGAAGGCAGTAGTGGCAATCGTAAATGGGGGATAGTACATGGGAAAACTTCTCGCTTTCTCAGAGGGAAATCGAGTGTAAGGTTCTTCCTATCGTGCTGATTTCTGCGAATCATTGCCTCACCCACACTCACGTCAAAGGGCTCCGAACTATGGGTCGAGGGTCGTAACATGAAATCAGCTGTCCTCGTAAAAGCTTTTTCAAGCGCTGCTCTTTTCTCACAAGGGTAACTATACTCGGAACTGTCCAAGTTCTATTTTCCTGCTCGTTTGATCGACTTTCTTGTAAAGTTAATTCCTTGGCTCCTGCTACCCCGGCCACCAAGATCTTAGGACTTGGCAACAGAGGAATGAGTCAGTTCCCTTTGGCGTGACCTCCATTAAAATTGTTTATTTCTTGAACCTGGCGTAAAATCTCCCTCGGGTTAAAGCAATTCGTTCTTGGGCGTTGATGCTTTGAAAAAATCGCTCATCATTTACCTCTCGCATTTTGAATTCTCGTTGTTTCAATGGACTCTTCTTCGTTTTCTTGCCTCTTGACCAGGACCTGAAACTGGGGCCAGGACACACCACCAACGAACGATCATCTAGGCTCTCCGAACATCCGCTTCTCTGCTTTCTGGCTTCATAATTTGATTTTGGTGCAGAAAAATGCTGCCTTTTTGGTTTCAATCCCTCAAAGTTTTTACCCCGAACACACAAACTGTAGCAGTTGCCCTTTACGAGACTAGTGAGCCTCAGCTCTTGAGACTGTTCGTTTGAACCCTTGGCGGACAAACGAGTGACGGTATGGGCTGGTCCACAAACTGACGATGACTGAACGAAAGGTAATTCAAGGTCTATTCGACAGAGATAAAACTTTGCCCGTTAACTTCTTAGTTTCCCCTTTTCATTGAACTAACCTAAATTGTCTTAACTGCTGAAGATGCCTTTCCTGCTCCTTGGTTGTGTGAGATTTCTGAAGAAAGCGTGTTCTCTCATCCAGGTTTTCGTCCGACATGTTTGCTTAATTCTGTTTGTTAGGTAATGGCAAACGTTTGGACAAAAATTGTTAATTATAAGCGACGCACAATCAAATGAAATAATCACAAAGCCGAACCACTTCACAGCTCTTTCTGTTGATTATTTCCGGCAAAAATACTTTGACAGTTACCTTCTTCCTTTGTTGACGACGCTGTTTTTCAAAGTTTTGATTATATTTTGTTCTTTCAGGCAGCGTGACAAACAATTTAGTTCCAACTTGAAAATTCTGTTTCGAGAACGAAAGTTAAACCTGCGCACTGATGGATGTAAGTGCCATCGAAATTCTGCGGTCTTTGGATAAGAATGTGCTGGTCTCATACTCAGTGTATTACTGGAGATATCAAAATATGTCGTTGTAGAGTAATTGCGCTCATCTTATGAATGTCGAATTTCATAGCAATAATTTCTGATAAATCTTACATTCGTTCCAACGTTTTTGCCATTGAATAGACGTTATCTGTACCCTCATCCAAATTAGTACCGACTTTACACAAAAATATTAACACCTGATGTTTGCTTCGTAAAAATAACCAGTGAACTTAACTGATAACTTTCACACTTATTTTGGCCGTTGACTTGTCTTCGTCTGTTCCGTTATGGAAAATTAGTGATTCACACAAAAATCGTAACACCTGCTGTATGCTTCTTGAAAATTACCTCAGGCTGTAGGGTAAACTCTCCTGACACGATCAGGACAAACCGCTATAGCAACTACGTATTTAACCAGAAGGTCTATACTTTGATATAACTAGTGTTTAAAGGCCACTGAGTTTTCCATAAGGTTTCACTTTTACACGAGGTTCCTCTTTTCTTTAATTTTCTGAAGTTCCAACTAGAAATGCATCATTTTTGCAAAGGCAAATTGAGTGATAAACTTTGTAATATCAGTAGCCTGAAAATGACGCATTTAGTAAAACTTGGTGAATGATAAACCCTTCTGCTCCTAACTTTCCATCAAAACATCTTAAACCCTACTGGAAAAATCTACTAGTCTGGGAAAGGGAAAAGGTTGTTTATCATTGTGTCGCTATGCTTCACACAAAAAACAATACATAAAACACAGATGTGGAAAACGGAAGCAGATTGATTAACGTCTCTAAAGAGTGACAACTACAGTTAATGGTTTAAAACAAGGGGGTGGGGGGTGGGGTAAACATTTGATTGTGGGGCCTGATCGTCTGGGAGAAGGTGGTCCTGAGAAGGACTGTTGTAAGTTGTAGTGAACCCGAGCGGAAATCTTCTTTAGAGTCAAGTTTTTTAGAGTCAGTTGTTGTCATTTGAGCGTTACAGGGCGGATTCGTTTTAACTCCAATAAAGTTTAGCTTTTACCTGAACATTCAAAAGGGCTTTTACTTAAGTTCAAATTGTTAAGAATTCAACTCATTCGTGTTCATATCCCCTTCTTGTTCACCATAAACAAATGGACCACGCTAAAAATTCTAAGTGGTTGTCAAGTGAGACACTACTGTTTCAAGAGCGATTCACAATACTGTGGTTGTTCATTATCATGCACGTGTTTCAGAGTGCTTTACCATCCTTTTAAAATCCACATTCAGGTCAGAACTTCAAACACGTGACATGCCTGTTGCAACCACGCAAGATGACAATTTGATAACTTAGCACTGTCATCAGTGTTATAAGTGGCCGCAAGTGCATTCTTTGCTCGTCTTATCCTGGTTTCTAAAGTACCCAACTTGCAACCTTTGTTGTCTTTACTTTCCATCAAAACCAAATTCCTGTTTAGAACCAGAGGACGCAGGCCAAAAGCCGAGTGCTTTAAATCGACCCACTTTTCTCCTTTGCTTCTGCTATTAGCTATCTCTGTTATCCGAGCAAGTACACTGTCCATCATATCCAGAGAGTACAAGCCTGATTGTAAAGCCTTCCGAAAAAACAGACAAGTATCATCACTGTAATAAACACTCTTAGAGAAACTGTCATTGCTAGTTGGGAAGGAGAACTTCCACAATAAGCTTACCTCACACTGGTCTGCGAGCGGCATTAGCTCCAGTGCTTTTCCATCAGGACTTTTAACACTGAATTCCGTGCTCTGCTTCTTACTTTTACCTGCAAGATTGGAAAAAACTTGCGCAATGAAATGGAATTTGGTTCACAAGACTACTGATACGATGCATTTGACAAACTAAGAAAACAGTATTAAAGTAACCTTACTTTTATTTCCTGCCATTTCCTCCCGTTTCTTTGTCAGTTGTGCTTGGAATTGCAATCTGGTCACTTTCGACGCCTGTCTTAAGGGCTCCGTAAAATCCTTTTCGATTGTTGTGAAGTTTTTCCATACTGTGGTCTACGTTTCATGACGTCAAAAAAGTAAACTGGTTAGATATTTAAAAGTAAGGACCCGACAATCATCACGAACAGGAAGTTCACCTTTTGTAAGTAAATGAAATGTGAAGCGGACAATGCTGGCTGAAATTCGAATTGTATGACGACGAGATTTTGAGACCTTAGGTTCATGTGACGAAGGTGAAGTACTCTGCTGGGCCGTTCAGATGTGTGTGTGAAACTTTCGCGCCATAATTTTTTAGCAAAAATTTTAATCCAGGCGATTTAAGAACCCAGCCTTTTCCTTTTGTCAATTGGCCGAGAGATCACTCCAGCAAGCGACCTGCTCGCGAGTTTTAGCAGTTTTCTGGTCGGGTCTTTCTTTCTACTTGATAACGCAACAGCACGCTTGGTTGAGTTGTAACTGCACAATGT